TGGGCCTTTTCCTTTCCTCCTGCGTCGTTCCCTTCCACAGAAGCTTTCCGCCTCCCTGTGCTTTTCCTCGCCTCCCCCGCGCCTTCCTGCCGGTGGATATGGACAGAAGGGCGATCGCTGCAGAGCAGCAGCAGCCGCCAGAACATATTTGAGCCCGTGGAGTTCGGAGCGTGGCACGGACTTTTTGTGTTGCTGTGGGTGGTGTGTGTGAGTGAGTGAGTGTGTGTGTGGAGGTGTGGGAGGCGGGATTGCTTTGCCTGGGGGGCTGGCTGAGGGGCTGAGTGCTCGGATGAAGACCTCTTTTTGCCGTGACTCTGTGCTCCATAGGGGCAGCTTGGAGACTTGGAGGGTTTGAGGTTGTAACGAAGCAAGAGGAAAGAAAAAACGAAGAGAGACACACGCATACAAAAGGATTTCTTTCCTATTCGTTAGTGGATTGTTAAACCTGAGTGGGAAGGAGAAAAGAACAAGGGTGGGTTGTTTTATTTTGTTCTTATTTTTTTCCTTTAAAAAAATCCCTTAAGTGGATTTGTACCAGGGTGGAAGATAACTGGGGATTTTTGTTGTTTGTTTTGGGAATAGAAACTAAAAAATGGAGACTGTAAGTAGAAGCAGCTTCCAGCCTCATCCAGGACTGCAGAAGACCTTGGAACAGTTTCATCTGAGCTCTATGAGCTCCCTGGGTGGCCCTGCTGCTTTCTCAGCACGATGGGCACAGGAGATGTACAAGAAAGACAATGGCAAAGACCCAGCGGAATCTGTACTGCATCTGCCCCCTATCCAGCCTCCTCCGGTGATGCCTGGTCCTTTCTTCATGCCCTCGGACAGATCCACGGAGAGGTGCGAGACCATCCTGGAAGGGGAAACCATCTCCTGCTTCGTGGTGGGTGGAGAAAAGCGGCTTTGCTTGCCCCAGATCCTGAACTCTGTGCTCAGGGACTTCTCCCTGCAGCAGATTAATTCGGTGTGTGACGAGCTACATATTTACTGCTCCAGATGCACTGCTGACCAGCTGGAAATCCTCAAAGTCATGGGCATCCTGCCCTTCTCTGCTCCTTCCTGCGGGCTCATCACTAAAACTGATGCTGAGAGGCTTTGTAATGCCTTGCTTTATGGTGGCACCTATCCTCCCCACTGCAAGAAGGAATTCTCTAGCACAATTGAGCTGGAGCTTACAGAGAAGAGCTTCAAGGTGTACCATGAGTGCTTTGGGAAGTGTAAGGGACTCTTGGTGCCAGAGCTTTACAGCAACCCCAGTGCAGCCTGCATCCAGTGCTTGGACTGCAGGCTCATGTACCCACCTCACAAATTCGTGGTCCACTCTCACAAATCGCTGGAAAACAGGACTTGCCACTGGGGCTTTGACTCTGCAAACTGGAGATCCTATATCCTCCTCAGCCAGGATTACACTGGGAAAGAGGAAAAAGCTAGACTGGGCCAGCTCTTAGATGAAATGAAAGAAAAATTTGACTATAACAACAAATACAAGAGGAAAGCCCCCAGGGTAAGTGGTGCCTTTGATTTTAAAGGGGGTGGGGGGAGAAAGAGAAAAGGAGTTTTCTCCAGTGTCCCTAGCAGCCGTCGATATTCCCAATTTGTTAGCAGCTGGTTTTCCTTTGAGTCATTTAGCAATCTAATCGTGTTCTTAATTCTCACCACGTGTGTGTTAATGGAGACGAGCAGCGTTTGAGGTGGCAGTTTTTTTTTCTCGGGTTGTATTCTGAACTCGGTAGTTGGAGTTTGTTTAAATGATACATGTGTGTTTGCATAGCTTGCTATAGATGGAACTTGATCTTTGAAATCCATCGCGCAGCCCCAGACTTTGGTAGAACGTATGTGATTTGAGGTCTTGAAAGCTTCAGTTAGGGGTCAAGACAAGGAAGAGGCCAGAAAAAACCAAATCGGTTTCTGATCGGTCCAGAAGCAAATATGTATGTTTTTCTATATGATCAGCTGCATGCTGCCAAGGGTGGAGGCGGGGGATAAAGTGTCTGAATGCTTGTATTGAAATAACAATGTGGCTGCTAACAAAAAAAGTCCGGACGGTAGCACAGGTTACTGATGGTGTGTGGAACGGGAATGGCCGAGGCGCTGCTTTCAGAGTATCCCTGTGGAGTCTCCCCACCAGACAGGCTTTTGTATATTGGATTATGTATACATTCAGTAAATGAATCTGTCTCGGGGCAGCTGCAGCAGCAGCTTAAGGTATGCCGTGCCTCGTGTGCCGAGCCAGACAGCTAAAGCAGTGTTCTTTTTAGGTGTCTTTTGTTTTTCTTTCAGTCTGAGCTGCCTTTAGCTCCCAGCATCCCTGGTGTGTGTGTGTGGGAGGCTGCCTTCGAGCTGGCAATGGGCCTTATCCATGGGCAGCAGTGGGTCCACAGGGCCTTGAGGCCTCGCTCACAGACTCCAGGGTGCTGGTGAGGGTGCAGAGCCTGTGGGGTGAGCAATTCACTTCCCCAACGCCTAGAATACAGTTAAAAGCGAATTCTCACCTACTGAGCTCTACACTGTGGGTTCGTTGGTTGGATTTTGCCTCGTCTGTTACAGATTTCTGAACTTTTCTTTGGTTTTATGTGTCTGGAGCGGATGGCAATGACACAAGCCTCAAAACAGAAGCAGCGTTTAAAGCCCACTGAGAATGTTCAGTAAAATTCTTAATTAACTTACCACCTACCTTCCTAAAGGGGCAGATACACTGCCTTAAATAGACTTAATAAATGGGAATTAAATAGAGCTTTTATTTATTAAAAACACAACAAAAATGCCAAAACCCAGGGTTTTTGAGATGCCCTGCCCAAGTGATGCAGTAATTCCTACTAGCCTGAGAGGCCTGCCTAACCTATTTTGTGATGAAGCAGCAGAGGCTCCCTCTTCAAGTTCCAGTTTCTCTCCTGGTCTTGTGCTCAGCCCGCGTTTCAGTCCTTGCCCTCACCCCTCCTCTTCCTCCCGCTGGAGTGTCAGAACCGCTGTGACAAAGCTAGGCTGTAATGAGCCACATTATCTCCGTGGTTGGAGGTGGATGTGTTTTTAATGGCTTGTCTATTCTCCGTCAGTCATGTGCTAAGATGGAATGGTGGGATGGATGTATATGAATGCCTGTGCGAGGAGAATACGGCTTTGAAAGCGGAGGCATTTTGCATGTTGGGAAATGAATTTTCTAGAGCAGGCTTCTTTGGGAAGCAAAAGTAAGAAATCTCCACATTTTTGCTCAAGAGAAGGTACCATGTCACTGGCTTGGGCATTTCTAGAGTTTAATTAAAATCAATGTTGGTAAAGGTGTACTTTCCTCTTCTTCCAGGGCTTTGAAGCATTCTGTTCAGTTGAATGATTTATCCCAGCTGAGGTTGCAGGTGGAGAACAAGAAAAAACTATGAAGTCTTGGCTTTGCCTGAGTTTTTTGTCAACCCTTTAATAGGTCCTAGCTCAGAACATGGCAAGAGGTCTTCTCCCAGCCCCCTCCAAAATCTGCATGCAGCACAGCTCTTCTTTCAGAGGGAAATTCAGGATTCTTTAATAGTGGACACCAAAAATTACGTGAGGGCATTGTGGCCATCTATTGAACAGAAAATGTTGCCAAAAATCTGTCATGATAAAATGTTACAGTCTCCTGCATATGTTTGTTTGGGAGGTGGCAAGGCGTTTGATGGGGAAGAGCAGTGGTGAGTGTGTGCTCAGATGATGGGGTAGGGAAAAAAGAATACTTTATCATACGTCCAGAGCAGGACTGGGCTTAAGTTTCAAGGCTTTAGAGCCATCTTCAGGGCTCTCCTATGAGTGTGCTGCAGTCTTGAGGAGACCCCAGTGGTGCTGGCAGAGTTATGTCTGCTTATCCTTCCTTTTTCTGGAGTCTTTTTTTTCCACTGGGCTCAGCCAACGGATATCATATGCTAAGGTCATTTGTGTTGTAGCAATGTGTGCAGATAATTACGGAGAGATTTAATCAGGCTCTAAGATTGGTAGACTGTGGCCAGGGGCAAGTAACGTTGGAGTAAAGTTTAGATGCCTAGTAAGGAAATGAAAGGATGGTCCCATGACTACGTCTGTGTGTTTGTGTTAATTCCTGTCAGTCCCTGTGGGTTTTGTGTGTCTGTTGGGCTCTGTGTCTGTCTGTCTGTCTTTTTGGATGAAAGGGTGAAGCGTATGTGTCTTTGTGGTGGTCGTCCTTTTTGATGTAGATCTCTGCGTTGCTTTGTTCTATTTTATACAGAGGTGTTGGTGTGTGTTGTGTGCTATAATCTGCTGTGACAGATACTCAGTCCTCTACTTTAAAGAGTGGGCTTTTTATCAGTTTCCCAATTTATTTATTTGTGTATGTATGTTCACTACTTTGTGTGATGTGTTTTCCCTGGGGCTCTGTCAGTGTGTTGGTAGCATGGGATGCATATGACCATTTAATGGCTGTTCGAGCAGCAGTGAATTTTTTGACCTTTTTCTGTGTCTTCATGAGGATATGCCATGAGGTATGTAGAGTTCTGCCAGCACAGCTCTGCCTTTTAAGGGTCGGACTTAAATGGAGGAGCTGGGTTGGCACAAGCCCCTGGTGCAGA